GGGCACCGGCGAGGGCATCTGCCGGGGCGTGTCTGAATCTCCGCCATTGCCGCCACCTCCCTCCACTTCAAAGTTCAGGCGAGCAGCCCCATTTGCCGGACAGTAGGACTCCACATTGACGTGACAGAGCTTGTGCGTAAGGAAGCCGCATTCTGGTAAAGGGGAAAGTGATTGAATTAATCAACAAACTATAACAAAAACTTTCGAACTTACCTCTGCAGACGTATCCCTGTTTGCCGATTCTCATGGGGAAGGTCTTTGCGCAGACGGCGCACTCCTGCGAGCTGGACACGTGCTGCGCCACAAAGAGGTGGTCGTTGAAGACGTGCAGCTTGACGCCCTTCCTCCGACGGTACTTCCGCTTGTTGGCCTTCGAGTAGGGCACGATGTAGTGTCTGGTCGAGAGAAAAGAGAGTTTGAATTGAAATCACTGCCTTCTTATTCAGCCACACTTACTTCTTCTCTCCATTGACCGTACACTCTAGCACCAGCGTCGAGTTCTCCGCAAAGAAGCTGGTGTTGGAGGCGAGGCTGAGAAAGCTCTCCTGCTTTTTTCCTATAGAAAAATGAATCAGTTTAGCAAAAGATGCCACATCAAACAGTCCAACTAACCATTGGCCATGTTATCCCGGGGCGCCGATGGCTCCCGTGAGCCGGGCACCGACCGGGCTCGTTCATCTCGATCCAGAGCTGATGATCCAGTTCCATTTCCATTTAAGCCGCTGCTGCTGCCTGCGCCCACCGATGACTCTCGGAAGCTGCCTGTGCCAGGCCCGCTTCGCTCCACCGACTTGGAGCGCTTTGTGAAACTCAGTCGCTTGCGAATCGTCCGAATCAGCGAGCGCTCTCGAGGCGGCTGAGAGGAGCGAGCTGGGCAAATGTAGTGGTTAATTAGCTTTTCAATTAGTAAAAACAAACTGAAGCACTCACATTCAGGCCGAGTGGGTGGCAGCGTGCCCGAGGAGGAGGGCACATCCGAGGGGGTGACGCCGCGGTCNTTGGAGCGCTTTGTGAAGCTCAGTCGCTTGCGAATCGTCCGAATCAGCGAGCGCTCTCGAGGCGGCTGAGAGGAGCGAGCTGGGCAAATGTAGTGGTTAATTAGCTTTTCAATTAGTAAAAACAAACTGAAGCACTCACATTCAGGCCGAGTGGGTGGCAGCGTGCCCGAGGAGGAGGGCACATCCGAGGGGGTGACGCCGCGGTCAGTGCCGTAGCCCTCAGAGCTGTGGGCGTGGTCGTCAGACTGTAGAAAGAAAATTTGAAGATTAACATGCTTAAACATGGCAGAACTGTTCACTTCAACCTACCTTGATAGTGTTCAGCGACGATCGAGCGTACTGGTCAAGGTGAGAGGAGGTGGAGTTGACTGTAAAAAGGAGAAAAGAAAAAAGAGAAAAACCAATCTTTTAGTACCATTCATTTACACTAAAATAAAAAAAGGATAAATTGAGAAAAAGAAAAAAAGAAATAAAGCTCTCTCTCAAAAACCCCAAATCACACCCGAGTTATTAGCCGCAAGCGGAAGAATAGAGGACTGCGCCCTCTGCATAAAGTTATTCATTTCAGTGGCGTTCTTGTACGAACGACGGCGGAAGCCGGCGGGAGAAATCGATGGCTGATGATGATGTTGATGATCACTGAACTGAGCTGACTCCCGTCTGCCTGAAGAAGATAGGTTGACTGAAGAGGCGGACACCAGAGAGCCGAGTCGAGCAGCAGCAGAATTGAGGGTCATTCTGGGCGCCGGCACCGGCGGGTACTGCGGTTCTCGCAGCAGAGACAATGGCTCCTGCTGTTGAGAAGAAGAGAGCTGTACAGAAGGTCGTTTGGCAAAAAATGAAGTAGAAATTTCAGCGTTTTTTTTATTTTCACTTGCCCCACCACTCCCAGCCAGCCGGGCGGGCACTTTGCTGCTAGATCGAAACTTGAAACGTTGCTTCACCGAGTTTACGGTGGAACTGGGCGAGCTGGCCGCTTTTGTGGTGGCCCTCTTTGCTGAGATGAACTTTGCGTAGAGGCTAGTTCGGCGGTTGGTGTTGCGTTTGAGGGGCGTCGCTGGGGGCGTTTCCTCTCCGTGGGCATTTTGTTCATTTCCAGTAGAGTTCTCTTCAGGCAGCAGATCATCATCGCCAAAGAAGAACGGGTCGTGCCTTGAGTCACCGTAGTTCTCCCGCAACGCCTCCTCCGTGGACGTCTCGTCGAGGGTAAAGTAGAGAGCGGTGTCGGATTTGGCCTTCTCTGCGTACCTGCCGTACAGCTGCTGTCGTTCTCTCTGCTGTTGACTAGAAATCTGACCACCACCACCACCGACTCTGTTATCAAACTGAAAGCTGTTTGGCGTGTCAGGCGACTGAGGAAGGGTA